AGTTTTTTTAAACCAGTTAGCTGGGGCCAACCGTCCTTCCAAGACACGCAGGTCTGGTTAGAGCGATCGACCCTGAGGCAATTTCAGGTAAAGATTATATAGGCTCCCACAACCGTTACACAAAAGCCCATGCTTATACAACCAATAGTTTCAAAGCAAGCATTTCACAAACCAATAACTTCAAAACAAGAAAAATGTTACAACTCCCTTCAGGTGTCTCAATCGGGGAGGGATGGGTGGTATGTGCCTGGCGCGACCCTTCCTTGTTATCTTGTGTAAGCAGACATGCCTACGTGACACGACACAGATCAGACAGGTCAGGCTCCGGGGGCTGCAGCACTTGCCCCTATCTCCAGATGCCTGTGTCTCCAGTTGAGTTAATTGGTTACAAGCAGTAAATTCACACAAGTAAATTCAAGCAGTAAATTCAGACAAGCAGTAAATTCCTCTTTCCCCAACAGCTGGAGATATGGCTCAGCAGAAGGTTCTTGACACACAAAATAGGCAGCAGGAGTTCAGTCCCAGTATCCCACAGTGGAAGGAGAGACTCAAGTCCTGAGGTTTGTCTTCTGACTTCCACGACTTCTACCCATGTATCCAATGTATAATTATTGATATATTTTTGATTTGATTATTGATATATTGTGTGCTCTCTAACCTGAAATAAGGACTATAATTTTTGCTTATCAGATGATGAAACTGAGGCTCTCACAGGTAAAGATATTTGTTCAAGGCCACACAACTAGGACATGGTGATGCTGCATTTGAAAGCAAATATATCAGACCTCAGAGTCTGTCTTCCCAACTACCCTGCATTGTCTTACAAAAGCATTGCTTCATTTGCATGGCTGAGTTAGCTACTCTCCCTTGAGGGAAAGGTCCATATCAATATAACTGGATCCCTAGGAAATCTTCCTCTCTCCCCTGGGCAATGGGCAGAAACAGGACCATCACTTGATGCCCTGCCACGACATGCTAGCAATTATCAGAGGGTTGATTCATAAGACTGCAGATGACCTAGCCCAGGTGATGTGTTCTTCCCTCCCATCACCTAGATCTGAAGAGGCCCTGATCCTTGGCCTCATCCCCTCCCGTTTGCACCTGCCTATGAGCTTCCTCCCTGTGCAGAGCTAAGGGGTCACAATAGGCCTGTAGATATGCTTACAGAGAGTAGAGAGGCCTGGGCTGGAGTCCTGTTCTATTACTGACTTCTTGTATGACCTTGAGGAAGGCCACCCCTCCCTCTGGTCTCCATGTCCCACTTAGCATAATGAGGGAGTTAGACTCGGCTTTGGAGGAGCCCTCTAAACTGCAGTGAATCTCTGAATCTGTTGAGTACAAAAGTCCAGGTTGACAGAGCTATATTGCTATAGGGATTTCAAGTTTTTATTTACAAGGAGAGATATTTTTGTTGGCTCTGACTTTATGCTTTTCTTTTTTCTTTTGACTTTTTGAGATGAGCTGACCTTGAAATCCTGATCCTCTGCTTCCCCAGTGCTGGGATTCCACCACACCTGACTTGACTTTTTTCTTTTCCTAAGTGGTTGGCCAGTTGCTCTGCACCCCCACCCCACCCCCGTGCAGAAATCTGTTTTTTCCTCCACTGGTTTGTCATGTCACTTGTCTTTCTATAGCCACACTGAGCTCCATGCTGACTTTGGTTCCATTGGCTTAGTTCTGTGTCACTACACCAGTACCATTTTACCTGTCACTTTACAGCATCAGCATTTGGTAGGGTGCATCCCCCCCCACCTGTATTCCTAGTTTTGCCCCTCACAAAATTATCTTGGATATCGTTGCCCTTTTTTTCTTTTATATTATTTTTTACCATTTGTATTCTTAGAGACAATTTCAAGAAGCCGAGGTTGACTTTGAACTCCTAATCCTCCTGCCTCCACTTCCCAAGTGCTAGGATTACAGGTGTGTGCCACCACAACTGGCTTCCTTCCATTCCCTTCTTACACTTTTTAGAAACAGCTTACCCTAGCTGGGCCTTTAATCCTAGCACTCCATAGGCAGAGGCAGACGGAGCTCTGTGAGTTCAAAGCCAGCCTGGTCTACACAGTGAGTTCCAGGCCAGCTGGGGCTACAGGTCTCAAAAAAAAACAAGAAAAAAAAAAAAAAAAAAAAAAAAAAAAAAAAAAAAAAAGAAGAAGAAAGAAAAGAAAGAGCTTATTTTGATTAGAAATAGGATGCGATTACAGATTTTCTGAGAATTCACATCTTTGTGATGTTGAAATTAATTCCCTGCTCTCAGCAACAGAGTGTGGCTTAGGGTCTGGTATCAGACCTGGGCAAAATCCAATCCCTACAGTGTAACTGGGGGACATGGATGTCAACACACGACTCTGAGCCTGTTTTCTATACTACAAAGCATCACTCTTAATTGCTAATCGTACCAACTTCATTGCGATCCTGAGATTGCCTAAGGTAAGGCAAGGGAAGTCTGCACACAGTGTTTGGTATAGGTAGGACCTCCATGACTGGAACCTGCTATAACAGTGACCACCACCCTCATACTTATTAGTGCATCCCTCTTTATCAAGGAGGCTCCTGTCTTTTGCTAAAGTCAAGGACCTGGGGAGGTGATAACACAGTTTCCAGCCTGTAATTTTCCCTGTTCTAAACCAGGAGCTCAGAACCCAGGGCTGCACTCCTTTCTCAAACTATGAGGCATCAGATTGGTGGTTGGCCCTTATCAGAGAAGGGAGGAAGGAGGCAGCTGGGTCAAACCACCGTTCTAACTGGTTAATATTCCCAAGGCCCCTTATTGTTAGCCTTTGCTGAACAGCAGGGTGGAACTCTGGGCCATCCAGCCTTCCCCACCACTCACACCAGGGCACCTGAGTCTCAGGGATATGGCTGATCCCATTGGTCTCCCACCTTCTGGGTAAGAGTTGACGTTTGGGGCTGGAGAGATGGCTCAGCAGTTAAGAGCATTGACTGCTCTTGCAGAGGACCCGGGTTCAATTCCCAGCACCGACATGGCGGCTATGAACCGTCCGAATCTGAAGCCCTCTTCTGACCTCTGCAGCATTGCACGACCGGGTATACTCACATACATGCAGGCAATACACTCAAACACATAAAAATTAAAATAATAAAATATTTAAATAAATATATATATAAAATAATGTTCTAAAAAAAAAAAAAGAGTTGACATTTGAGAAACCAGATCTTTAGCCTGACCAGACTGACCCAGCTTCCTCAGACTGTTGTCTAGATCATCCACCTACTGAGTCTTTCCAGGGCCTTTTTGTGAAGGTACCAGACAGGCTTCACAGGCCCTAAACTTCCCACCAGATTTCACCTGACACATGAAATCCTAAAGCCTCAGTGCTGCTCTCTTCGAGGAGGCCTGTTGGACCCACACTTTAACCACTCTCTGTTCAAGGATAGAGCTGCTTGTACATTCACAGCTTGGTGAGTGATGACCCTATCAGATCAGGTTCCCCAGAGTAAAGACTAGTTAGTCATTACCTTTAAGCAGGGGGAGGACAGGGCCTCCTTCATTAGATGGGGGCTCCCAACTATGAGACTCAGGTTCCCCTCCCCAATTTGGGATTCTAAGGACAGGGATCATACCTCTACCATTAAGTCAGAAATGTTCAGGGAAATGGCTTTTCTTTCTTCATTGGGTTTGTGAAAGAAAAGTTTCCAAAAAGAACTGCACCTTGGACTGAACTTCCTGCAAGGCTGACCAACTGATTATCACTCCAGAGACTGTGGAGAATTTGGAAGGTTGCAGATTCAGAGTCTGATTACCGTTTATCTCAGGCCATCTTTAGCCCCCTAAACAGCCAGTCCTTACCCACCTCTGTTTCTGATCTAACATCCTGTGACTAACAGATAAAAAACCTTTTAGAATATATTATCCTAGCAGACTGCCTGGTCTCACCAATCAAAAGGTTAAGAATGTCATCAGATAGCATCTGAGACCTATAGTAAAACACCCCTTGCTTTGCTGCGACCCGCCTACGGAATGTATCCGCCAGTGTATTTGAGAAGTGTCTTGATTTATGACATTTCTTTGTTCTGTTACTATAAAAATGTAAGGCAACTGTTACCACACTGGAACATGGAATTCGGGGTAACCTGAATCTGTGTTCCTGGGCTATGGTCACTCATATTTGGCTCCAGAATAAACTCTTATCCCTTTTGAGGTGAGAGTTTTGCTTTTGCGTTGACAGGTTGGAAGCCCTTAAGGGAAGTCTCTTTCATAGAACAAACATGCCTTTTCCCTATCCTGGCCCCACCCCTGACAGAGTGTCATTATGTAGCCCAGGCTAGCCTCCAACTCTCCTTTTGCCTCAGCCTCTCAGGTGCTGGGAATTATAGGTTTGGGTTACTACGTTTGCATGAATAGCTTTGTTGTTGTTGCTGTTTTGAGACAGGGTCTTACATAGATCAGGTTAGCCTTGGACTAGCTACTTAGCTGAGAATGACCTCGAATATCTGATCCTCCTGCCTTCACTTCCCAATTGCTAAGATTGATTACAAAGATGGGCCACCATGCTCCACATAAACTGGTTTTTAAGGGGCAAGATGTATCTTCCCTATCAGATCAGAGTTAAGTGTCCCCAAGGGGTTGAGAACCACCAGTCAAACACACCAATTCCAACACAAACCTTTATTTTCAGTACACACGTGTGTTGCCAGCCTCGCTGGTCTGGCTTTTGTATTCTCAGTGCTTGGGCCCACTCAGGACTCATCCGGCTCTGGGCTAGAGAAGGAGATTAGGGATCTCCATCTTTGGGCCAAAGCCTAGCTACCCCTTTCTGTGCGCAACCTTGGTGCAGGACCTTCCTTTCTCCAGTGTCCTTCTTCATCCTGACTCCTCTGGACTGGGGCTCACAGGCACAAGCACGGTGGGTGCCACCATCATCCCGGCCCCTGGCCTCTGCCCAGGTACAAGGGAGAGGATGGGTTCTGGCCAAGGATGCAGGGAAAGGCAGAGGCTGGCTTTGTGCATGCAAGCCTGTTGGCTCCCATCTGCCTTCTCAGTGGCTGGACTTGTGTTTGCTAACTTTCACGTTTGTGTTAGAATCATAAACCTGCAAAACCAAGAGGTTTTTTTGTCATTCTGCTTACCTTGATGGGCCAGGCTGTCTCTTTCTCTTCTTCTCCGGTCTCAACAGCTACCCCAGCCAAGCCTTCCAGGGAAGTCCTCCATAGGTCTAAGTCTAGCATGCCTAAACCCACTCTGAACTGAGTGAGGAGTTCACCATTCCCAAGACTCCAGGTCATTCCATTCCAGTCCCATGAGGTGGGAGGCAAAGTAAAGAAACAACATTTTCAATCCAGGAGGTTCCTCTTTCAGGAGGATGCTCTTATGCATCCTAGAGAGGACCCAGGGCTTCTTTGCCAGAGAGATGGTTCAGTGGTTAAGAGAACTGACTGCTCTTGCAGAGGACCCAGGTTCAAATCCTAGCACCCACATGGTGGCTAACAACCATCCATAACTCCAGTTCTGGGCGATCAGATGCCCTCTACTGATCTCCACAGGCATTGCACAATGAGTGCACATACATATAAAATAAAAATAAAAAAGCTGGGCATGGTGGCGCACGCCTTTAATCCCAGCACTTAGGATGCAGAGACAGGTAGATTTCTGAGTTCAAGGCCAGCCTGGTCTACATAGTGAGTTCCAGGAAAGCTGGAGCTATAGGGAGACCCTGTCTCAAAAAGATCAAAAAATGAAATAAAATAAAAATAAATAAAACATAAAATCCTTAAATAAAATAAAATAATAAAATAAAATAAAATAAAATAAATATGAGCTTCTGAGAAGTCCCAGTGGTCAAGAGCAATGACTTCTGCTCTTGAAGAGGTCCCAGGTTAAATTCCCAGTGCCCATATGGTGGCTAACAAATATATATAGCTCCTGTTTCAGATATATATATATATATATATATATAACCCTAGAACTGAGTGTGATGGAAGGAGACCCGTCCTCTCCAAGAAGAAAAAGCTGAAACTTGGATTGGGTGGTGACAACTGCGGTGGGTGGGAGTTTAGGGAGCAGGCAAGGGTTGGAATGGACAGAAATCAAGGCAAAAAGCCTGGCACTGGGCTGGGCACTTTGGGGGCCGGGCATGTGTGGATTCAGGAGGAAATGGAAGGCACACCTTTTCCCTGCTTATTAGTGCAGAGATCAAGTCTTGCTGGGTAGCCACCTCACGCATGGAGGATTCGCTCTGGTAGCACAGGCTTTTGGAAGTATGCCTGTGCAACATCTCCTCCTCCTGCTCCTGGTTGTAACGGATGGAATGCACCTCCTCCACGATCCTGGGGTGGAACAGACAGTGTGTTCCCTGGAGTAGAGGCAGGCTTTTACCTCTTCCCTGATGTGTACCCTTCCTCCTCCTCCTCCTCCTCCTCCTCCTCCTCCTCCTCCTCTTCCTCCTCCTCCTCCTCCCTCTCCTCCTCCTTCTCCTCCCCACTTCCCCAGCATCCTTAACAAAGGCCCAAGCCTAGCAGAGCCCTCATGGAAAAATGGGAGGAACCTGGAGGTCAAGATTCCAACTCCTGCACTGAGAAGTTGGGAGACTATGGGTAAGTTACTTAGACTGTGGTAAGGGTGCCAGGCTAGGCCCAGCCCGGGTTCCCTGGTACCCTTCCCTACGTGTTGAGCTCCTCTCTGATGTCCTTGTACTGCATCAAGTTCTCCTGTATTGCCACAAGCACCAAGCAAAAGTTGTCACAGGTTTTTTCGGAGAGGTTGGACAGTGGGCCCCCCACCAGCGGTTCCTGGAGGAGACCAGATGTCTCCATGCAGGCAACTGTACAGTGAACCAGAGGCAGATCATCAGTCTGGTTCTCTTCCTCTCCACCTGTCTGGGTCTGTCGGATGGAGAGGGACAGACAGATTAGACCCATGTGGCTTCAGGGAGGGTATCTCAGGATATGTCATTTATTTATTATTGTTGTTTTGCAAGCTAGGGATGGAATTCAGGGCCTCCAGCATACCAAGCAATCACTTAACACTGAACCCAACCCACCCAACCCTTAGCTCTAGTCAATCTTTTTTTTTTTTTTTTTTGGTTTTTTGAAACAGGATTTTGCTGTAACCCCAGCTGGCCTGTACACCAGGCTGGCCTCTAACTCACAGAGATCCACCTGCTTCTGCCTCCCCGGTGCTGGGACTAAAGGCGTGCGCCATCACACTGGGCAGTTCCAGTCGTTCTTAGCTTCCCAACTATGTTGTGACAACTCAGTTTCAAACGCCCAAGCCCATTCTCCACCTCTTTGGAAATTCTCATCTCCCACCAGTAAATCTCAGCCCTGCATAGTTCTAAAGCCCTGCCTACCCTGAAGTGAGCCTTCAACCCTTCCCAAAGTCCTTCCACTTCCCTCTCCATCTTGGGCAGTTTCCGAATAGCTAACATTTATTGAATGACTATTGCGATTCTCATTAGAGTCCTAGTATCATTCCCATCTTGTGGAAGACATTAAGGACTTGGTTGGTTAAATGCCCTAATGCCACCCTACTTGCTCAGTTCTGAATTATTATAGCATACCTAGGAATCCACACCCCACCCCAGAAGTCTCAATGAGTGAGCACCACAGGGCTTAGACTGGGCTTTCTGTAGGCACTTGAGTTTACACACACACACACACACACACACACACACACACACACGCACGCACTCAACTCATTCATTCACATGTTCCCTCTCCTCCTTCCTGCCCTCCCCATCCCACGCACCTCACTAAAAATTATTTGACGCTGTAGTCCCTGTTCTCCTGTCTTCATCATTATTTCCAGATTCGTGGTCACAACAACAACAAACAGGTTGAGGCCAATGAAGGCACCAATGGTGATGAAGATGGCAAAGTAGATGGCACCCCCGATCTCCATTGCGTACTCCCTGTCCTCCGTCCTGGAGATGGCAGTCAAGGGCCCTGTCACCTCCCTGGCCTTCTGAGCCTTAGTTTCCTCATCTTTAAAACAAGGAAATTACATTTCCCACTCCTGGTGGTCGCAACAACTGCTCTTTATTGAGACCTGCTGCGCTCCCAGACAGAGGGCCAACTCCCAAGTTAGCCTTACAGGGAGACTGTACACCAGTATTATCATATCTATACTTTCATATATACTCTGTGCCCAGCTGTATATAGCGAAGTCCTATAGATTTCCTCTACTGATCCTCATAGCAGCGCATGAGTAATTAATATTGTACTGGAATCTCTAATTTAGGAATGAGAAAAAGAACATGAGATAAGCAATAAATCCTGGCACTGGGGAAGTGGAGGCAGGAGCATCAGGAGTTCAAAACTAGCCTGAACTATAATGAAACACTGTCTCAAAAAAAAAAAGGGCGGGGCTAGAGAGACAACACTGACCGCTTTTGCAGAGGACTCAGGTTCAATTCCCGGCACTCACATGGTGGCTACGAACCATCCTTAACTCCAGTTCCAGGGGAATCCGAAGCCCTCTTCTGATCTCTGCGGCATTGCCCGACACAGGTGCACTCACATACATGCAGGCAATACACTCATACACATAAAATAAAAATAATAATAAAAATAAAATATTTTTAAAAAAGAAATAATGAAACAAAACAAAACTCAGTTGGTATAGTGCTTGCTTAGCATGCATGCATAAAGCCCTGGATTTGGTCCCCAGCACTGTGTAAACTGGGAATGGTGGTACATGCCTGTAATCTTAGCACTTGGAAAGTAAAGTCAGGAGGATCAGGAGTTCAAGGTCATCCTTGGCTACATAGGGAATTCAAGGTTAGCCTGGGTACAAAAAAAAAATCTGGATGTGGTGGCATATGCCTTTAATTCCAGGTGGACTTCTGTGAGTTTGAGGCTAGCTAAAGTTATATAGCAAGTTCTAGGTCAATCTAGGCTACATAGTGAGATCTTCTCTCAAAACAAAACAGAACAAAACAAAACCAAACAATCAAACTTTTAAAAGCCAGAGGTAGGAGATGTGGCTCAATGGTAGAGTGTTTGCCTAGCACACATAAGGCCTAGCACCACAAGGTAATAAATAAACATAAAATAAATAGCCAGTTGTGGTGACCCACATTTGTAATCTCAGCACATGGGAGATGGAGGCAGGATGATCACTTCCAGTTTGAGGTCAGCAATGAAACAGCCAGTCAAGTCAGGGAGAAGATTCAAAAGCCCAGAGCAACTTCACTGTGTATTCAGTGATTTTAACTATCTGGACTTTTTTTTTTTTTTTTTTTAGACAAGTTAGCTAAGGCTAGCCTCAAACTATGTAGTGTACATGTATGCCAATCTTGATTTATGTAGTGCTGGGAATTGAGCTCAGGGATTCCTGTGTGCTAAGCAAACATGCTACCTACTAAGCTACAGCCTTAGGCACCCTCCCCTTTTGTTTTGCCTTTTTGAAATAGGATCTTAATTACAGACTAGGCTAGCCTTGGACTCCTGAGCCTCCTGCTTCTGTCTCCTGAATGCTGGGGTTACAGGTGTGTGCCAGGCTGTCCACTACTCAAGTCCCAGTGGATTGTGACTGTTTTGCTTATTTGACTTTCACAAAGGGGAGTGGATGGGATGGAACTGGGCTCAGACAATGGAAAAGAAGTAAAGAATAGAACACAAAAAAACTATCTTGGGGAGTGAGGCTGGGCATGAGTAGAATGAGACCCAGACCTCCCAGGAGTCCAGGCAGCTTCCTGGGCTCTAATGCAGGCTGGAGGCTGCCCTCAGGCACAACCACAGACTGCCAAACCTCTCAGCTATTCAGCATAGCAGAAGTCTCTATGAACAGAGTCAGATGGCCCTGTGAATGTGTGGAGTTTCTAGGGGCACAAACCCACAGGTCCCGCCCCCATGATTTTGTTGGGCACCCCACTTCCTATGAGGCCAGCCTCATCCCCTTCCCTAGAGCCCCATTCTCATTCTCACTGTGTGCCCAGTGCACCTCCCCCCCCATAGGAGCCAGTTCCAACCTGGCCAGAAGAGGATGAAGCCCATCTGTACTCACTGGAAGTCGCTGTAGATGTCCAGCCAGCCATCCTGGGTGATGCAGATGAAGAGGGTATACAGGGCAACCCCCATGTTCTGGAAATGCTTGGGCACGAATGCACCAAACAGAGTAACACCAAACACAGAGAATACCTGGCAGAGAGACCAAAGCCCCACCCTAACTTCACCTAGGAGCCATGGAAGTGGACATGCAAATAGATGCAAATCAGTGCTGCCTGGGGATCACAGGGATTTAGACTAAAAGGTCTTGTTTCTCAGGCTCCCATCCTTACCCACTGACCTACAGGCCCCATTCAGGATCAGGGAGACACTGACCAGCATGAAGAAGAGGATGAAGGCCACAACATTGGTCAAGTCCGGTACCGACTGCAGGATGACCCGGATGATCCTGGCCAGGGGCTTCACCGCCATACACACGTGTACCAGCCGAAGCACCCTATGGCACAGCCTCTCAGGGGTATGTATCCCTTGGCCCTTCCCGCACCCCTTCCTCCTGTGTTGCCCCGCTCACCACCACCAACTTCCCAAAGAGGCAGAGCAGAGCCCCATCAGGTAACAACTTTCCGTTTTATTCCCAGGATCCAGTCGGATATCCCTCGCTTCTTCAGAGCCCCCAGCTCACCTGAGAGTATAGGTGACTGCAATGATGTGAAGCTGTTTAATGAAGAACCCCATGAGCAAGGTAAAGACGATTATGAAGTTGAGAATGTTCCAGCCATCCTGGGGGGTGGGGGGGCAGCCCCAGGGAGGATTGATCAAGCCCAGCCCATGGGAGCATCTTGAGTCTGCCCTCCCACACCCTGACGATGGGAGACTCAGTGTTCCCCTCAGAGCAGAACCGGTCAGCTGCCATCCACTGGCTGTTATCCCGTTGTTCTCCAAACATGCAAAAAACACATGCATAATCACAGTCCCATACAAATATGTGTCAATAGTCAACCTCAGAGACTTACAGTGAAGACATGCCCCCTGCGCCCCAACACAGGGAGACAGAAGCTAGTTCTTTTTCTTTTGTTTTTTGGTCTTTTTGAGACAGGGTCTCTCCCTGTAGCCTCAGCTGGCCTGGAACTCACTAAGTAGACCAGGCTGGCCTTGAACTCATAGAGATCCGCCTGCCTCTGCCTCTGCCTCCCGAGTGCTGGGATTAAGGGCATGCACCACTATGCCCCGTACAAGCTAGTCGTTAAGCCTAGAACTTGACCTACACTTAGGTGACCCCTGTCTTTGTGTAACATACACTACAATAAAATTAAAGTGCATACTATGCACTGGGGGTGTAGCTCAATGGTAGAGGGCTTGCTTGGCATGTGCAAGGCCCTGAGTTCAGTCCCTAGTACCACCAAAAAAATGAATAGTGAACCCAAATAAACACATCAAGAAACACTGCTTTAGAGCCAGGCAAGGTGAAGTAGGGTTCCCAGAACAAGAAAAGTAAAAACAGGCAAATTTCATAATATAAAAATAAATCTTTAAATTACAAAAAAAAATGGGGGGCTAAATAGATGGGTTAAGAGCACATTGGCTGCTCTTGCAGAGGACCTAGGTTTGGTTCCCAGTACCCATGGCTAACAACCGTCTGTAACTCCACTTCCAGGGGGGAGCCAACGCCCTTTCCTGACCTCTTCAGGCATTGCACAACACAGGTGCACATACCTACATGCAGGCAATACACTCATATACATAAAATAAAAATAATAAAATATTTCTTAAAAATTAAAAAAAAGAAGTTCAGACAAGGTGTCCCTGTAGCCCCAGCTGAAGTGGAACTAGATAGCTAGACCAGGCTGACCTTGAACTCACTGATCTGCCTACCTCTGCCTCTTGGTGCAGAGATTGAAGGCATGTGCCACCATGCCCAGTTTTTAATTTTACTTTAAAAAATCTATTTATAAGCTAGGTGTGGTGGTGCATGCCTTTAAATCCCAGTACTCAGGAGGCAGAGGCAGGCAGATCTCTGTGAGTTCAA